ATATTACCCCATTTTATAGTGCCCTGAAAAAATGAATTGTGCACTAATTAAGCTAAACAAAAACTATTATTTGAACTACATATATAGCAACTGGTTCTTTTATGAGAATGAACTTGATTATGATTTTACCACACATGTGAAAGTAATTTCGTTTAAATATCATATGTGTAGAAGATAGAAGCTACATAAGTTCTATTTACCAACCAATATTAGATCCCTCATTTCCTTTATTTATTGAGCTATATTTGATTTCAATCAATATTATTGAAAAAAAAATTATTTATTTGTCTTACATCGATCACATACACACAAAGTATTTGAGTTGATCAATATTAATTAGAAGTCCCATCTCATCCTAATTAAAGCACTATCTATAGCCATTCTTGCTCATTAGTGCTTTAGTTTGATTGCAGCTAGTTAGTGTTATGCTAGTATTTAGATTTCTAGCTATCACATAGCGACTTAATTTTGTAAATTCTTGTTAATTTCTCAGATCATATATCTCTAGCAGCTTTCTAGCCCGTTTGAATCAAAAATGACATTTGCCGTTGAAAAAAAAGATTGTCACTATAGATAAAACTCCATTTCGTTGCATCCAATAATTTGTTCCGCCCAAATATATCAAGAACGGATGCGAGAATAAGACTCTCATTTTGATGATAGTTTGACTAAGGAAGCATGTGTTGGAGCTTATGTGTTCTCAAAACTGGTGCCAGGCTAGCTAGTACAGAAGTCAATAGCATTTTGATAATTTTTATATTTTTATAGCTATTGTCTAACGTGCGTCCTATGTCATACATCATTATTTATTTTAAGAGAGAGAATATATAGTTATATTAAATTAATATAAATAATAAGAAGTAAATCAAAATGAAGTAGAAATGACTCAAATTCCAAATGAAAATATTTCTTCAAGTAAAAAAACATAAAAGGAAAGATAGATTTATTATAGCAAAAAGTAGCGAGGAGTCATATATACAAAAGTAAGTCTAATACATAGAAGAGTTCGTACACGAATTAGGCCAAGATAAATTACATTAATGAAACTTCCCTATGACTGCTAAACCACTGAAAGGAGATATATTTGATCTCTTTGGCAAGAAAAGTGAAAATCTTCGGGCTGTAGCAGCACACCAAATCAGTACTTCAAGTAAGGGTCGAATAGTTAAATATGTGAATAATGATTTTATGCTACAAATTGTTCTAGCAATTTTGAAAAGAGCGAAAAGGATTTGTGCTTAATCAAGTACAGTAAGTCGTACCATCCTAACGTAATTGATATAACTCAAAACAAATATGATATTTGTTTGACATATTGATCCTTCAAAGTTTTTTTTACCTGAAATGGCAAGAAGAATTGTAGCAAAACGCATGGCTTTGAGATAAGTAATGTGGGTACAAGTAAGATTGAAGAAATCTGGATTATGGATTATATATATGTTCAATTGAGAAAAAAAAAAGGTTGAGAATGAGGGAATCATTCTCAGCCAATCATTTTATCTAAGCATAAAAAGACACGGTGGCAAACTTGTAAATATGATAATAACCTTCAATCTCAAATACGTACAGTTCAAACTCATTCCTAATCGATCGTTAATCGTCTAAATTTCTCCTCCAAACTTCAACAATAATCCAGATTTCTTCAATTAAACCATCATCAACGTCAACCAGTGTTAATCACTCATCGATCTTCGTCAATAACACGTTTATCAACATCATTCAACAATTGACAACAAAAATTCGTTTTTGGTTCTTTTAATCCAACCTTCAATTCTGCTTAAATACGATCAGATCTTCAACATCTACGATTAATTATACTCTCAGCGTCATTAGATCAACATCATCGATAATCAACAAAAAATCAACTTCATATCATTCATTCAACATCGAT